TCCTCCCCTCCTTCTGCCCTGGACTCTGCCCCCAGTCTGCCCCCCTACAACCTGAGGAGCCCCTGGTCCAGTGACCGCCAGGACAGAGTAGCAGAGCTGGCTTTGGTGTCCTGGGCACCCCTGTCTCCCAGAGCAGGGTCGGGGGTCGGGGGTGGGGGGCAGGGGGAAGCTCTGACCTCGAGGCTTCAAAAAAACTCACTGTCATCTTGTCGATTCTGACTCTTATCAACTCCACAGGACGACTTTTATATACTCATATGTTCCAAGAAAACTGTTGATTAAAAAAGGAAAAAGGTAATACAGCCCCTCCTCGATGCCATGCTCATTGGCAGGCCTGGCCCTTGGTATGGCCCATGCCCTCAAACAAGAAGTTCCACCTGCCCTTTCTCACCTGGAAGACCCTCCTCTTCCCTGAAAGGCTGCCCACGGGGGAATGCCTCCACTTGCCCCTCCCCAGCCCATCCGATGGATTAAGTGGCCCAGTGAGGGCCCTGCCCTGCACCTTCAGTTCTTCTTGATGCCTTGCGACTGGAATGTCCAGAAACTAGCAGTTACTGTGCCTGTAAAAGCATACATTCCCCACGGCCTCCTGAAAAAGGGGGTTCTGTCCCCGATGTTGAGTGGTGGGTATGAGGATGCAGGCTGGAGAAGGCCGGAAGGTGCCCTGAAAGGAACTCTTAATGAAGGGGGCGAGTTAGAGGGAGAAACACGTGGAAGGAGGGCACCAGCATCCCTCCCATCTAAAGGGATTTCTCAAAAGGACGCCACCAACACTTCTGCTTACAAATCGCATTGGCCAGAACCTGGTCACCTGGGCATGTGCAGCTGCCAAGGAAGCTGGGAAATGTAGTTTTTAAAGCTTGTGTGGCGACTTGCCACACTAAGCCTGGTGGTTCTGCTTTGAAGGAGAGCGTGGAGAATAGGTATCCCTCTCTCAAAGCCAAAGACCTAAGCTAGGGTTGGAGATGGAGACGTACTGGGGAGATTTCCTAAAGGGCGTGACATCTAAACTGGGTGCCACAGGAGACAGGCCTCAGGCAAAATGCTTGGGGGCCCGGCAGGCAGTTGGGGTGGTGGTGAGGGGACAGGAAAGTCCGTGAGAGAATGCACATGGGCCACGTGCAGGCCCAGGAGGAGAGGAGTCCAGGGAGAGGGAACAGGAAAAGCAGAGGCTCAGAGGCAATTCTGAGTGACAAGAATGATCCTCCTGCCAGAGCACGTGACTCCTGGGGGCAGAGCAAAGGGAGGGAGTGCTAGCAGGTGACAAGGTCAAGAGTCAGTCCATACAGTGCCTGGTAGGTCATAGGATGGAGTTAGAATTTCACAGGAGCACGTGATGAGCAGCCCGGGACATGACTCGGTTTGCACTGTAAGCCAGGGCTGGCTCAGGCTGCAGGGCAGAGGGTGGGAGATGGAGGAGGAGGAGGTGCCGCCCACCTGCACCGTTTCCTGGGGCAGGCGGCCTGAGTCCAAACATGAGGTGCACCAACTGTGTCTCGTGATTACCCCCAGGGTCCCCGAGAGGCCGACATCATCCATCCCGCTCACCGGGGACAACCAGACCGACTCGGACATCTTGGCCTTCATCAAGGCCAGACAGAGCATTCTACAGAAGAAATGTAAGTCACCTCCCTCGGTGGCCCCACTCTGCCCTCCCATACCCGGGGGGTGGGGTGGGGGGTTGCTGTTGGTTGTTGGGGGTGACTTCGGAGCAAATGAGGTGAGGAGGAAGTAAGAAACTTCCTCCGTGCCAGAGCCCCCAGCTTGGCTTCCAGCCACGTCACTCCAGGGGGGACAGCATGGGAGACGTCATGACAGGGCCAAGGGGGTCGGCCAGATCCTTGTCTTCTCAGACCGGAAGTGGGTGGGTGGCAGTTTGGTAGTGTGTTAAATCTCACCCTGGGGTCAGAGTGCTGGGGTTTCCAACAAGCTGTGGATGTAAACACCACTTGAAGCTCAGGCCCGAGGACATCCTAAATGCCAGAGGAAATGTGTGTGCGATTGTCCGACAACAGGAAGAAACCAAGAGGCTTCCTCCCAGCCTTCCCCTCAGCACGCCCATCTCCTGGATAGGCCTGGGCGTCTCCTGCCTTGAATCTCAACCCAGCCCTTCCCCCAGCCCCACTTTCCCATTTAACCTCTTCCCAAGAATCCAACAGGCTTAGCGGTGCTTTCACAAGACAGAGGGGCAGCCTGCTGTTATTGTTGTTGTTGTTGCTGTTGCTGTTGTTAGGTGCCATCAAGTTGGTTCTGACCCATAGTGACCCCATGCACAACAGTTGTTCCTATAGCTGAGCCCATTGCTGCGGCCACTGGGTCCATCCACCTCATAGACGGCCTCCTTCTTTCTCACCGTCCCTCCACTTCGCCAAGCATGGTGTCCTTCTCCAGGGCCTGGTCCATCGGACAACCTGTCCGAAGCACGTAAGACAAAGTCTCGCCATCCGTAAGGAGCATTCTGGCTCTTCTTCTTCCAAGACAGATTTCGTTGTCTTTTTGGCAGTCCGTGGTCCTTAGCATTTTCTTCTCCAGCGTAATTCAAATGCATCGATTCTTCCATCTTCCGATTCATGTCCAGCCTTCCCACGCATAGGAGGCGAATGAAAGTACCGCGGTTTGGGTCAGGCTCACCTGAGTCCTCAAAGTAACATCCGTGATTTGCAACACTGTAAAGATGTCTCGTGCAGCCGATTTGCCCAACGCAGTCTGCCTTTTGAACTCTCGGCTGCTGCTTCCGTGAGCATTGATTGTGGAGCCCAGCAAGACAAAAC